CCCGCATCCAGCATCCTGCTAATCTAAACAGTTACTTTGATGTACTCTGAATTTAACAAGAAACATGCTAATGCGAAGTGATATTGGCTATATTCAGTTCCCGCTTGCAGTTTGCAGTTAACTTAATCAAACTGGGACACAGTCGTGTTAAGTTTTGTGATTTTAATTTACTTATTGGGAAAATAAACCCTAGCGATTACACCAAATAACAAATAGATTCAATCTATATCTTTACTGATATTATAAAGAGGAAAACTTTGTTTAATTGTAATGAAATAACTCAAAAACTACTGGGCCGATTTCAAAAATTCTTTCAAAATTAAAAAGCTACGTTGTAAGTGAGTAACAAAGGCTATGTTTTATATTTTTTAATTTCACGCGGACGTAGAAAACCGCTATAGTAGACATTTGTAAATAAATCAACTAATTATATTGACTACTTTTTAAATATTCGTAAATTCATCTTTGTCTGTCATTGACTATTTTATTTTATACAAAACACTATTAATATTAGTTTATTTTTATTATAAAACATATTAAAAGGTGAGAGGGTTGTAGGGTATAGTAAATCACCTCTAAAGGTTGAAAGGGGTTGACCGCATCACGATATTTTAAATTGGAACGGGACGTGTGATCTATTTCCGAGTGTCATCCCCTCCTCTCCCCCACTAATGCGTCCTATATGCGTCTACAGTGCATATCTCATTCGAAATTGCGACTAATGAATGTTCCGATTCAAAACATAAGCTTTTACTAACAGTAGAATATAATTGCAAAGCTTGATAGCTATCTCAATTAAACTAATAACATTTCGTATGTTTCTTTTAAATGTAGCATCAAAAGTAATGTTATTTAGTCTCGGAGTTAAAAAATAAACCGTTTTTTTAATTATTTGCATTTACGTAAGTTGCGGTACATAAAGGCCGCTTCACACGTTCAATTTTATCTGTACAGACGGATCGATTTAAATAGGGTTCAATCCTCATTTTTGCATGTGAGATTTATCTGAAAAACTGAGCGTGTGGAACAGGCTTTATATACATACGACAAGCCGTAGGCGTTATTAGATACGTCCCACACGGGCCGTAACGAATTTTAAAGCTCACACGATGAGATCCTTTTTAATGGCCACTTTGTATCACAGATAAAAAAGGTTTTACCGTGATGAGCTTTTGGGATTTTTTTCATATGTTTTATAAATGTTTTGAACTCAAGATGTGTTTAAATATAACAAAGAATATAACTAGTATATAAGAGAGTGTCAGTCCCACCAAATTGTAAATTGTCTGATAATAATCCAACATGTAAAATATATAATGGAAATATCGTAATTTGTTCCCTTATCTCACAGTGACGTCATTTATAAGCTATCTGAGCCTCTATCAGCCAGTGGTGGGACAGCCCCTAAGCATTTTAAGTATTGGATTGATGTTATTTCTTTTTTTTTGTTATTTATTTTCTGCAATCAGTCTTTAAAACTTTTAGCAAATGCGATAAACGATTGAATTTTCATAATATTTTCTCCATCGAGTAAATTCTTCTTTTACAGAAGACGTTAAAGGATCTTATTTATTACATAATTGTGGTTCTTTTGTAGAAGGAGGAGACTCCTTCTGTGCTCTGTTTTTATATCGCTCAGCAATAGACCTAATTTCCTGCTGGACAGTGGTTTTAAAACCTTATTTACCTCTAAGATATTGTTTTTTAATCAACTTAAACTGTAAATATATTTAAAGTAAACAATGTATAAAACTATAGAGTTCATAAACGAGAGAGTTCAGTACGTTAAATTCTTTAATGACGGCACTAAAACCATACTCAGAGTTACTTCGCCGAGAGTTTTCTTGAAAGAAGCTTTTAATGTAGAGAAGACGCAACATAAAATCTTGCATCTTCTAAGGAAATAAACTCGTCTTAAATAAAAAGAAGTAAGCACTCAACTAAGTAGTGGTAGTTACTAAGTATCTCTTAATCCGTTAATAACTCGCTTATTTTATTATCTCAAGAATTTTTGATAAAAGAAAACCATAGATAAAATAGCTTATTAATAATGGAAATTTAAAACAGATTTAAAAGATCATTATAAAGTCACAGAAATATAGCTTTAAAAAAGGTAAATATTAAATCAATTTACCTAGTAACAATATTAGTCGAGCACATTTTATTACACTTTATCTTAAACTATCTGTTGCTCGCGACTTCGCCCGCGTCAAATAAATATAAAGTAAAAAAAGTAGTAAAAGTATATCCTATGTTACTCAGTGATAACATAGCTTTTTAATGGTGCAAGAATTTTTGAAATTGATTAAGGAGTTATTGACTTTTGTCAATACATACAAAATTCCAAAAATATTTCCTCTTTATAAGATTAGTATATACTATTTTATTTTCCTAAAAGCGTTAATGTCTTTTTAAACAATTAAGAAATAAACTGTTTATTGATAATATAAATGCGAATTAAAATCTTCAGTCATAAAATACTTTAATATAAGTTTATTGTTTGAAAAGCGAAAATTTCAATCGGAAATACGTTGGAAATATAGTGTCGTCACGAACGAATGCCGCTGACCGAACTGCAGTGTTTCAAATTGAAACAGCAACGCAGCGAACTGTATTTCCGATTGGAAATCTCTGCCTGAATATACCCTCCCATCCCATTCACACTTGTCAGTTGGACGCGACTGTACCTTTTTACCCGACTTCAGGGGGATGTTCAGACATTTAAAAAATAGACGCGGCAACGTGAACAAATTTCACCGGTACTTTCGTGTTCGTATTGACATGTTATAAAACATTTTACAAAATTATAATAAGCATCCATCTTTTGCTATAAAATAAACTAAAAAGTGTCACAAAATAAAATAAACATTTAATGACAACAATTGGAAACTAATTAAAATACAAATAGTTGTATTGACATATGGTTTTGAGAGAAATATCTCAAGTGAAATGTCAACTGTGCCTCCTCTGTATATTTTAATCTCTTTGTTGATGACGTTTAGGAATAGTACAGTCAGTTACAAAAGTATTTATGCACGTGCATTCCCTGCCAAGACAACGATCACCGAAATATTCTTGCGTCTAATTTCAAAGTAATTTAGACATTTTGTTCACGATAGGTTTCTATTCAATGAAGACAAAAGTTTGGTTATTTATCTGTCATAAAGCAGTTATTTAGACAGTCTGCGGAAAGCAAATAATTAGCACAATTACACCTGGCGGTCGCAAATAAATTTATTAGGATAATTAAAGAGCGCCGGGAGAGCTGTTGTATTTTAGGGTAAAATGTTTCGACGTTTAGATTTAAATTAATGGTTATAAAAAGGGCTGTTTTCTCGTTACATGAACATTAAATAAGAGAGAAATTAAACAAAGAGACATAGCATGATCATAAAAAAACATTTATTATTTGAATATACGAATTCCTTGATTTATGGACCAAATACATATTTATTAATCTATACTATTATAATAAAGCGTAAACACACACTTCTTTGTTGCCTAAAATGTCAGCTATTACAACATTTTTTTGAATAATACTTCTTTGAATAAAAAGCCCTACACTTGCGTCACGCTTTAGGCTATCTATTTTAACATCATTAAACTTAGGGGGTAAATATTTTGGATAAAAACCCTAATGTGGGAAAGAGACCATAAGTTGCAGCCAACATCAAGGAAGCAAGGTTGTCATCATGTCATATCATTTTGACATTTGAAATTGATAATTTGACAAATGTAAATAAAATTAATTTTTCATAATTTCATGCGGATGAAGTCGCACGGGAACAGCTAGTACGACATAATTATAGCAAAACTTTCTTTCAGCTAACGTAAAACCTAAATTAACAAAATTATGTACCATATTTGATGTTTATCAAACATGTAACAGTGGTAGAACCCGCTTTAACATCTTCGCACGATGAGCCGGCTCGCCCGGTGTAATACCACGACCATACATAAAACCGGCGTGAAGTGGAAGCAATTCCGCGTTTCGTCTGATGAGTGTGGTGCCGGAGGCCTAATTTTAGAGTCTTTTCTTTTTCACCCTTTTCTTAAGAAGAAAGGATGGAAAGGAAAAGTGGATTTGACGGTAGAGGAGACGCGTAGGAAGGAAATATGTCCTCTTTAAGAGCGTCTCCTCCTCCGTCAATTAATGGTAGGCAACGCATCTGCAATTTTGGATGTTTATGGGCAGCGGACGCTTTCCGTTTCGGTGGATTTAGGTGGTCGCTTGCTCGTTCGCCACCTTATATTAAAAAATAAAAAAAGCCATGTACTGCGTTCTATCACGTAAACGATGGCCAATAACTTTCGTAGTATCAATTAATTCTACATCCCAATGATTTATCGAGCAATTTAACGCAAACATCATAAATAAAATTGCGACCTCAGATTACAACCATAAATATACGGGTATTAAAAATGTCATTGTTGTTATGTAACTTTGACCAGGCAAATACAAAACCACCTGCGTAGGCTTAGTTTTAATCCCTTTCCTTTTCCATCCTTTTCTTAAAAGATAAGTGAATTTGATGGCCGAGGCGCACAGTAAGGGGAAATGTCCTCTTTATGAATGTCTCTTCTTTCGTCAATTTAGGGTAGACAACGCATCTGCAATTACGGACGTCTATGGGCAGCGATTGCTTTTCCTTTTAATGAAATTAGCTAGCCGCTTGCTCGATTACCAACTTATAACATAAAAAAACATGTCACGGAGACAACTCAATCGCTACTTTAAGTACGCAATACTTGAGGTGTTATCCCTAACGACGGTATAAAAAGCTAAACTCTTTCGTTAAAGCACATACGAGATACAAGACGGTAGTGCCCTCTGGTGTCGGAATCCAAGACATAATGACATAATATACTTTGGGTTACAGCGTCAAATCATTTTTAGTAACCTATTGATGTATTTCACGCCTTAAATACCTTAAACTAGTAGATTATTATCCTTGTCAATGTATTTGCAAAAAAAAGTGACAAGTATTCATAGTACTTACACTTCGATGGCCTTATTCCAATTGATGACGTATCCACTGAGGACGAACGTTTCGATGTTGACGACATGAACGTTCCCGCGCTCTGTGCCCACGTGCACCCACTTCGATTGCAGCGGTAAATGCAGGCATGTTATCCTGAAGAAAAAGTTTATAATATTAATAATATATTGCCAATACAGAGAGTTTTTCTGTGGGATAGCTTGCCTACTTCAACTCCAATAGCGGTATTAACTAAAGGGGCTATGTTATACTGAGGGATATAGCTAATTTTAATATAACAACTCTAGTTTACTTCTTGACATTAATAGCAATAAATTACTAGCCATTTTCTTTTTCAATAAACTCAATTTCAACCAGCATTTCTAAATTATTTTCATTTAAAATCTTTAAAGCTATTGACGCTGCAAAAAGGTACTGCTATCTTTTCAGGGCGTTAAAAAAGTATGGACACAAAGTCTTTGAAATGTATCTCCCTACGGCCTGGTGTTATCGTTGTCTATAAAAAGTCCCTCGCTTTTGGCATAAAATTATCATTTTAGAACCTTCTAGAAAGAAAAATCAAGGCAATATGTAACCGTTATTTTGTTTTACGAGGTCAGATAATGCAAGATTTTGATCGTTTTATATTTTTATTCTTAACAATACAGATTGTATGAAACTTGAAAAATGTTATGTAATTTTATTCATTGTATTTGAGTTATTTGTATATTTATTATGCTATTTTAAAATATATAAAAGTTACTAAAAGGAATTGCAATGAAATAAAATAAATTGCAATGAGCGAAAATTAATTAAAAACGGCTCAACTCACGCTTTTTTTTTT